ATCTTCTATCTTCTTATAACCGCGTACTGTATAAGACGCGACGTCTTATAGATTACGTAAGACAACGCATAATTAAGCAGTCACTGTTTATTCAATGCTCATACTATTAGCGCCTTATTATATATATTCTCCACAGTAAAGTTCCATCTAATAAATATAAAGTCTAGTTTCTGGAAAAAATATGCCCACTAATAATCACTATCCACAAATTTTAATTCAAAAGTACCATTTTGCACATAGTCTCTCATAGCCTATGATTTTTAGACAAGTTATTATACTAGTATTATGTCACCAAATGGAAATGTTATGCTAAAAACAAAACTATTTTCTAATTGATATTTTACCCAAAGTAATTTTGAACAACAACATACTCACCTTCATCAATCGATAGAGATAATGGGATGTAGCTTTTGATTGACTAAGACACAATGTTTAATCCAACAAGATGAAATTCACCATTGGTGTTATTTCTCAACTCTATCTTCAGCAAAATTAGCATCATAAAACCCACCTAACCTCAAATCTTTGGTTTTTCATAAAAAACTAAGATAATTTTCACTAGTGAGATATCTGAAAATTCTTTTAATAACAGTAATGAGGTTCTCAAGGATCTCCTTAAAATCTAGCATATAGACAAATACTAAATTGAATGTTAGGTCTATTTGTTCAAAACAACATATGGGTACATGAATGTTACCTGTCATATTTGTTCAAAACAACATATGGGTACATGAGAGTATTTATAGATTTTTATTAGTAGCACAAAAAAAATATCATCTACGTATACTTGTAAAATAATGAAATCATTTTGAGAAGTTCTTTTTAAAAGTGTAGTATCTACTTTTCCTCTTATAAAACCATTTTTCAAAAGATAATTGCTCAATCTTTCATTCCAAGTTCTAGGAGACTATTAAGACCACAAAGAGCATTTTTTATTTTAAAAATATGATTAGTTTTTCAAAATCTTCAAAACTAAGGGGTTATCTAACATAGACCTTGTATTCAATTTCACTATTTAGAAGAGCACTTTCCGCATTCATTTGAAAAATGATGATTTTGTGCTATACAACATAAGACATGAGAATTACAATGGCTTCTATTCTAGCTACAGGTGAAAAGGTTCAACTCATGTTAATACTTTCATGTTGATTGTAACATTGAGAAACTTACATTGGTTTAATACTTACTACATTAACTTGCTCATCAACTTTATTTCTAAATACCCATTTTGTTCCAAAGATGAACTTTTTGTGTGGTTTTGGAACAAGAGCCCAAATATCATTTCTCTTAAATTGGTTGAGATCATCTTGAATTGCTAAGATCCACCATTTATCAAGTAGGCTTCATCTATGAATGAAAACATGCAAGAAAATGATTTTGATGAAGACAAAGTTCAAAGCTTAAAGACTATGAACAAGAACAAATCAACTACAACAACATGAAGACTCAAACTCAAAGAAAGAATCATCAATGCTAGAGTAATCATTTTATTTTTAGGTCCTAAGATGCTTTGATTGAGTAGAGTCTAAGTTGGGTGAACCTTATGATATATCTCACATAATTAGAGTATGAACATAATACATAAGAGATTTTCATACATAACATGATTTAGGCGCATCTAGCATATATACATGATTTTGATACATTAGTACTTATATCATTTTCAAATCATGCATAAGTCATTCATGATAGAAGTTCATACAAATTAACTAAGTCTTTTGAGGAAAAAACGTTAATCAATTAAGACATTGGTTAATCGATTTAGTCTTTTAAAATATGAAACCTTTTAATCGATAAGGGACATGGTTAATCGATTAAATCAGTTTCTATTTTGGAATTTTGGATGTTTTAAATAAACGTTAATCGATTAAGTGCATATTTAATCGATTATCCCCAATAGAATAGTATGAAAATGAATGGTATTTTACCATCCTTTCCTATGAGAAAAAACAACAAGAAACATTTTTAGATTTATGGAAACTTGATGTAAGATTGACACATATTTTTGAAGAGTGATTTTCTAAAATGAGTGAAAGAAACTTTCATGTGAAAAGATAGAGTCTTATGAATCTTTGAAAGAGTTTATTTTCAAAAGTTGTGTGTTTTCAAAGATTTTCCTTTTATTACTCATAATCATTCATATTCATATCTAAGATTGTGAGATTCATCAAAGGGTAGTTTGTTCTAAATTCTTAGTGCATGATTAGCACATATAGGTGCAAGGAACTTTGTACATATTTATACTGTCGATTTGTAAATGTGTCTCTTTCGGGTGTGAGGTATCACTGATGAGTCATATATTACACACTATTCATAACCTTAATTTATCATTGTTAATAATTCTTGGTATCTAATTGACTTTGTTTGGCATGGTTTAGTGTTTTAGGCTTTATTGGACTATTATTCCTAAAATGAATTAATTTGGGATTATTTAGACTAATTAAATCTAATTCCATTTTCAGGTCATATTTAGCACCAAGGACATTTTGGGCATTACAAG